TTAATGCATTGGTGGTGCTAACTTTTAGTAAACCTTAAATTTTACTAAATGCCACCATTGTGTGATGTTTAAATGAAGTAAAAGGAGGCAAAAATTGGAGAGTTAGTCAAAGCGTTGAAGGCGATGAAAAGATCCCAAGTGATTCAAATAGTAAGGGAAGTCAACTTGTTCTCAGCTTGCGGTAGCTGAAATTTGTCTACTCATTTTACAATCCACTGTCTGGGCTTGGGCGACAGCAACAGCATCAAAGTTAGGGGAGAGGGGAGGAGGGAGAGCGAAAGAGGCGAGGCGAGGGGATAAACATCCAACAGTACCACCTTCGATGACAATACGGCAGTGATGTTAGGACTTGGAAGCGCCACCACAAACACAACACCCACAGATCGTAGCGGTAGTGAGTCAGAAAAAATTAAAAAACAAAAAACAAATATATATAAATAAAAGCAGGAATTAAGGAAGGAGAAAACCAGGTGACTTGTGGTGAGCCATCCAACGTGGAGTCCAACGAGAGTCGAGGACGGTGATTGGTTGGACGATGCATTGTGTGAGGGGCAGAAAAAAACAGACTTTAAGAAACTTATTTGTTAGACCGACTTTAATGCAGACATTAACAAAGATGGATGTGAAGTGGTTAGATTGGATGTCGTCTTTCCACCTTGATGAGTGTAAAATGTGCACCTTTGCCTGCAGAACTTGGTCGTCGGGAGGCCACGACTTTTCGCGCCTCATTGGATGGACGTGAACGCAGACAAAATGAGTGAAAAGCAAAAAAGTTGTGGCAAAATCTCTGAATGACAGGCGTCACAGGCAACTGCAAGATCGACAAAGCTACTTTTCCCCTCCCCCCCCCTCCCCCCTCTTAGAAAAACATGCTTTAAAGGGGGGGGAGAGTGTCGCAGACAAAGCAACCACCGTTGGGTTTTTATTGCCTTACAAGCCTAAAAATTTCACCATTTTTCTCCCACCTGAGCGCCAAAAAAGTTGTAGTATTTTAGGTTACCAAAGTTCTCACCTCAATTACAACATTCACATGGCGCATTATTCCACACAATTGCCCCGTGAGTATTTTATTGTCCTGTGCGGGGGATGGGAGGAGGGAGGAGGAGGAGGAGGAGGACGACTTAATGAATGTCAACAATCCACCACAATACACAGACGACACAGTCAGTAAGCAGTACAAGTATTTTTTTTATTTTCCTACCTGGAAGGAAAATAAGAACAGTACCGCTGATTTAAGACTCTCTTTTTCCCTCCTATTTATTTACTGAGTAGTCTTTTTTTTGTGTTGAAAGTCACTTTCGACTTATTTGGCCCTGAGGAGTGGAGTAAAGCGCGCCTTAATGCTCCAGTCCGTCGTAGTGGGCAGTTGAGCCACTGGTTGCGCCTTTGAAGTTGATTGCCCTCCTCCACTTTGCATAATAATGAGAAACGCAATCTTAAAATGGGAGATTATTATGCAGACTGAAGTACTCAGACAAAAAAAAGTAAATAAATAAATAAATAAATAATAATCGTAAGTGAGGAGGTTAAGCGATGCTTCTCGATACGTTTCTCTTACTTGGTTGCTCGATGTTTGCACAAATTTGTTATGTTAAGGTAAATTAGGGTAATTTGAATTGATGGGCAAAGGCTAAGCACTATCGTCCTGCTTAATCTCGTTTCCTCTTGGAGGGGATCGAGATTTGTGGATTTGGTTTCGGGTAACATTTTTAACATTTTGCGGAAAGAAACGTGTAAAACGGGGAGGAGGGGGGGGAGGGGAGAAAGAGTAGTTGCCTCCTCCTCCTCCTCCTCCTCCTCCTCCTTCTCCTCCTCTTCTTCTTCTTCTTCGTCCTCCTCATCCTTCGCCATCTCCTTCTCATCCGTCTGCTCCTCCTCCTCCTCCTCTTCTTCGTCCTCCTCATCCTCCGCCATCTCCTTCTCATCCGTCTGCTCCTCCTCCTCCTCCTCCTCTTCTTCTTGGTCCTCCTCGTCCTCCGCCATCTCCTTCTCATCCGTCTGCTCCTCCTCCTCTTCTTCGTCCTCCTCATCCTCCGCCATCTCCTTCTCATTCGTCTGCTCCTCCTCCTCCTCCTCTTCTTCTTCTTCGTCCTCCTCATCCTTCGCCATCTCTTTCTCATCCGTCTGCTCCTCCTCCTCTTCTTCGTCCTCCTCATCCTCCGCCATCTCCTTCTC